ATCATACGGAGTTCCTATGACGGATTAAACAGCAAAACCGTCCACGGAGGTCGGCTCACAGACTCTTTCGAGCTGAAGACCGTGTTCAGACAGGGTTGCTTACTCTCACCTTTTCTCTTTTTCCTGGTGATCGACTGGATTATGAAGATGTCAACATCTGCAGTGAAGCACTGTGTACTCTTGACAGCTAGAACGCAGCTGGTCGATCGGACTCTTTTATCGCACACGCAACAACGAACGCAAGAGAAGACGACCAGTGTAGCAGTGGTAGGTCTCAACATACACAAAGGGAAAAGCAAGATTCCATGATCCAACACAACATGCCTCGGTCAATTCGCTGGAGACGCCTTAGAGGACGTCAAAACCGGTGTAATGCGAGGTTGCTTAAGCTCACACTTTATTTTTCTCCTGATTATCAACTGGATTATGAAGACGTCAATATCTGGAGGGAAACATAGTATACAATGGATGCAACTGTATGATTCGGATTTTAAATACTATCTCGTTCTTTAGTTGCACACGGAATAACCAACGCGAGAGAATACAATCAGTGTAGCATAAGATTTAGAGGTCTCAAAATACATAAAAGGAATAGCGAGATTCTGCGACACAAAACAACATGTGCCAACCAAATCACTCTAGATGGACACGCCTTGGTGGAAGTTAACACTTTCACATACTTGGCAGAATGATCGAAAATGAAGGTGGTTTCGATGGAGATGTGTAGGTGCAGATTTGCAAAGATAGGGTTGAAGTTTTACAATGGAAAAATATCTTGAACTCCAAACAAATATCAATTAACATAAAAATCGGGATTTTTAATGCAAATGACAAAACAGTTCTACATTATGGAGCTGAAACTTGGAGAACTATAGAATCCACCATCCAGAATATACGAGAACTTCTCAACAGTCTTATATGCAAAACACGTCTGGTTCGTTAGTCAGACACCATCAGCATTAACCTACTGTAGGAGAGAACGAAACAGATTCCGGTAGAGAGGGAAATTTGCAAAAAGTGTTGGAAGTGGATGGAACATACACCACGAAGAGCACTCAACTGAGTCAGCAGACAAACCAGTTCTTAGAACCCTCAAGGTAAAAGGAAAGAAAATAGGCCAAGGAACACAGAACGCCAAAGAATAGAGAAAGATATGAGAACAATGAAGAAAAATTGAACAAAACTGGAAAGTGAATCCAAGGAGAAAATTGGTTGGAGAAAACTAGTCGGCATCCTATGCTTTTCATGCGAGGTACCACGAGTAAGTAAGTCAAGTAGGTATTTGATCTAGGGAAAAGATGCAAGCATGTGAAATCTGATTTGAATACCAGCGGAATTCCAGAAACTAGCGACTTTGTTCACCTACAAATCTTACATTTAGGTGGACAGAGGTGGCTGTAGAGTATACGACATAAAGCCGATCCCATATTTGAGGATCTAACTTAGTTCTTACAAAACGATCAGATACTGAAACCACAAAATATGGAGAATTAAAAGTACGATCAAAGCCGTTACATGAATTATTGGTATCTTATCTCAAGTTATTAAGGCTTGTGTGTAGTGAGAATAGACGAAACCGTGAAAACAATCAGCGATAAAATCTGACGTCACTTATGCTTGCAGGCTAACCATATAGCTCTATGTTATCCGAGGCGGGTGTTTTATAAAAGGATGTGTTTTGCAATATTTGAAGCACGTCAACTTGAATGGCATATGGTTTAAGAATGGCTTCAGAATTCATATTGAGTAGCAGCATCTAGTATCTTAAGTTTGATCAGATTTGGTAATACTTCCGTGAAAGACAGACTGCCACATGAGCTGAAGGGTAATGGAAATCATGCTAGGAGTGAAACATGTTAAGTTGTCGATGGTTGATGGTTTTGCTCTTGTTCTTACTTACTGAAAATAAAATAAGCGTTATCTAAGTAGTCAGTCGATCCTCCGCTCGATCCTTCCTCTTACAATGAATGTAAACCACTGTACAGTTACGTACTGCGAGTAAATAGTTATTCAATTCATCCTCATTTTCTGTTGTCTCATTACGATTAGTTGATGCACAAGTTTAGTTTCAAATTTATTGTGATTATATTTCGGTTTGTATCAACCAGATCACTTCTAGATGTCAGTGTGTCTTGTATACTCAATTTAAAAACAAATAATAAAATTATTATCATTTAATAGGGTTGTTCTTTCACATTTCATCACGCATTTTCAGTTTTATTTCACCCTATACTCTTGCCTCGATTCAACCATACGGTTATGATGAACCACTTACAAAGCATCTTTAAAACCTAAAACCCTTTATCCGCTGCTTCGTGGGATGTTTGCACCTGACGAATTGAAATAATAAGCATGATTTATGAGTATAAATGTAAATCCTGTCTACAACTGCACTAAGAGTAAACTAAGATTTAAAATAAAATAAAGTTGTCATCATTTTAATGCACAACAATCAACAATCGTCATGTGAACCGTCAAATATAGATGTCAACATTTAGGCATATGAGCGAGCTCTTTATTTTTCTTATCCTGGTTGAATCACATGGGACGAACTCAGTATCTGGAGACCTTAAATTATCACACAGTATATATTTCATAATGAAACCATTACCATTATTCATTTGAATGAGCAACTGCCTAAAAATATACATATCTTGATAACAATTTCGGGTTTGATTTGAAATTTTTGTTTGATGTTCCGCTGAATTTCTAAATCATGAATCGATCAGTGTCAGGTCATCATTAGTAGCCTGAAAGCACTAAATGTCTGTCCCATTGTGGTATGGGAGTCGTCGGCGAAGCGCATCCCTGACTCCAATCACTGTTCGGAATTGAATTCAGGTACTTCGGTCTTGAGCGTGAACGCCTAAAATATGGATCACTGAGCCGACATCCAATGGTGAGATGAGTTGTTTCAAAAAGCAAACCATATCTGTCAATAATAATGTATACTATTATTGAAGTGTTGTCAAGAACTTGCAGTGGAACGCTTCTACGAAGAAAATGCGATTTTTGAAATGTAAACATCATTGTACTCGTTTTGTTTAACTGTACCAAAAACACTTCAACTACTTCTTGCGCGCAACGTTATCTTCGCGTTGCCGCTATCTTTCTCTATTTGGTGCTCCCTATGTAATGCCAACGTTCTCCTTCAATAAAACCATAGAATATGGATTTATTTTGTTTTGCTTTCCGTGACGCGACCGTATGGATCGTTTAGTGGTGAGCATAGTCAAGCTGGTATCCGGACTCGCTCGCAACAAACTAATTATTCTCAATTCAATAATTCATCAATGAGCATATATTTCTCAATGTGATATGCATTCAAAGCCGAATAGACATTGTTTATTTTAAAAGGTTTATGAAATAACTGAATAGTCTTTAGATTAGTGACCTACTTAAATGATGCAGCCAATGAAAAACGAGAAACAATTAGACTGATGATTCGTGTTAGTGTGTTTAAATCCTTAGTAGAGTTTATCAACGCACTGTACACAGGGAACTTAAACGTGTGTTGATAATAAGGTTCAAAATACAACTTAGATAGCACATTTATTTAAATAGAAATAAGAAAATTTAAAATTCTTCAACTATCATCAAGCATATATTTTGAGAGGTTGTTGATCTCAAGACACTCTCCAATAAGAAATTCTCATTATTACTTATAATCTATGGTAGTAATTCAGTTTATAAATTGAAAAAAACTGATCATATTATTAAAGTTTTATACTACAACTCTATTTAAATGAACTGTTGTCCTAGTAAACAATCGATCGCTGAATAAGAGCTACACATATAAGGTGAATATTGTTTGCAATCGATAACATGAATACTCTTTAATGTTACTTGTGATACTTCAATGATGAAAGCTTGTTATTGTGAATTATTCACGATTTGTCGATTGTTTTACAATTTTCATATTCTTCACACTTCTCATACATATATATAAAATCAAAGTCATATCACTTAAACAATGACAGTCATGATGCGTGAAATCTTTGTTATTATTCCACGAAAAGATGAATACTCATTTAAAGTTAAAATTCTGTTTTGTGCATTAGTTACTCTGTTGGTTGTCTGGTTGAACAATATAATACCAAATCTGTGTCAATGGATTTTCTATCAAGATAAACTCGACATATTGCCTGCAACATTCAAATCGATGCAATCAAATACATCTACTTCAAACCATTCAGAATTGGATCTTGCTCAAACATTACATGTCACATATTCTCCTATCAGCAAAACATCTTTTCAGAAATACTCGCTAAGATTTAGCCTGGAAGAAAGCAGACTGGAAAAGCTATACGACTCGTTAGGTGGAAATAAAACAGTGAGTTGATCAATTGAATAAATTATTTTTTTTATTTATTGAAATTGAATGTAATTTTTATTAATAACAAAGATTTGCAATGCGTTATTGATTTCTAGGTTCAATGTCGTTTACATGTTAAGCAGAAAACTTGATAGGTTGTTTCACAGTAATACATTCAACTGGGCCAGATGATATTGTGTAACTTCATGTTCGTGACACAAAAGATTTTATTGAATACAGAATTTGTCTGTTTGATTTAGTTTTTTTAAAATTATCTCAAAAATAAATAAATACTTTTACCAATAAACAGAAGAATATGGTTTGATCTAATCTAATGAACCTTGGTGCGGTTGTTCTTAATTCAGAGCATTAACTGAACGTACAAACAGAATAGTTTCCAGGTTCAAACTCAATTTATTTCGGTCACTGTAAAGGTGCAGCTGGGTTAATTGAAGGTAGTAAATTTAAACCAATTTGAAATGATTTGAATAGACCTATGGATAATGCATATTTGTTGCACTACTGGATCTTAAATCAAATGATACGGAGTTCGGAGTTATATTTGTATAAGTTCTAACATGTGAAGTTCAAACAGTTCCCATAATTCAACAAATATACTGGTGTTCTTCTCTGGTTCCAGGTGAAGAAGTTTCTCAGATACGGTGATCGTATAATTTTTCCATCAATGAACTTTTCAAAATGTCATGCATCAAAATGTACACTGATCACTAATATGAGCGATTGGCGAGAGGCTGATGCACTTGTAATCACAGAAGGTATAGTGCCTAGTGGACTTCGGCCACCAGAGCAGTTATGGTTTGCCTTACTACAAGAATCTCCTGCACACATTGCAATGGCAGATTTTTTGGAAAGTGAAGTAAGTGGTTTTGGTCGTTTCATTGTTCTTGTTGGTCGTTCTGATGTTGACTGTCATAAACAGGTGTTTAACAAAAATGGCAAAACTGAATTTAGTCTATTCTATTGAGTTTGCTATAGTACAGTTATTGAACTATTCGAAAGGTTCTGCAAAATTAATATGAGGGGTTATTCCATATGTAAATCCAGATTAGAATTTACATTGTACATTCAGGCTATGACTGAATATTTCTAGTTTGCTTCAGGGATGTAAGTATAATTTTTCTTTGGAATTTCATTTATTCTAGTAAAATTAATTTTTACATTTCAGTGGGACTGTAAATAAATAGTTTTCCCTTCCTCAAACTATGGCAATGAATTTCTCTTACATTCTATGTAAGCGCCTGATAAATAAATGGTTTTAACTCAGAAACTGGTTATAACATTTCTGTGAATTCCTTTCTCTCTTTGTCAATTCATTGTTCTCGCTTGTAGTGCCTGACTTATTTGGGCTGATTTGATGAACTGAATTTCCTTATAGCAGACATTATTGTCAACGCAAACGTAGTGAACAGTTATGTGCTATTAACTGTTTCCCAGTCAGTTTTACACAAATTTATGATATCCGTTGGACTAGATCAATCTAATATGATGAAACTTGTTTGCAATGTATCATTCATCTAATCATTTTAAAAATCAACTTTGAAAACATGGAATTTGTTGGTCCTAATGCCTCTACACAATAAATAGACAGCTAGGAATTAGGATTCGATAACTTAAATCACACAAGTCATCAAACAAACACCCTGTTCTCGATCAAGATTGAACTGCTTGTTCGTATTGCTATACTTATCACATGATGCGCTAGCGTATTCGTGAGAAACTGTCTCGTCTGTCTAACACTTTCCAGCGGTGAGCGTCATCAGACAAGATTTAATGCAGTCGAGTGGCTAAGCGCCTGTCGATTAGACACTGCCAGATATCTGGAACCATACCAAACAAACAATAATCGAGAGCAAAAGAATCAATCATTTCACACAAGCTAGTGAAAAAGATATTGTATGTTTGATAACGAACTACAGAAGAAACCGCGGAAGCAACAACTGGGTCTGTTCTGTCAGCTCACCATGTAAGACTACAAAACTAAAAGGTCTCTACCCTGAACTAAATATGTAGTATATTTTCACCAGCGTTTACATTCATATTACATTTTATGGATTCATTTTACTTTGAATTGACTCTCGAATATAAAGGTTAATTTCACCATATCCTATCGCTTGGATTCAACAATTTATTCACCATACGGTTTCTATGAACCACATATGAAACAACATGGACCAGAAACATGGTATCCTCTGCCGAACAGAAAGTTTGCTCATAGTAAATCAAAGAAAGTCGCGTGGTTTGTGAGTAACTGTGTGCCTGAAAGCTGTCGAATGCAATATGCCAAAGAACTTTCACGATATATATCGGTGAGTTTAACATTGCTTTACTTTGTATTTCGACTGGTTTTTCATTTATTTCGACTGAACCAAAAGTCCATGAAAGACGATGTATTATGAATTGCGCAACATTTGTTCCTCGAAATTAGGCCGTGATGTGAGCCGCTTTCAAGTGAACAACAATTTGAGATGAAACGATGATAAGAATGACTAAAAGTTGGCTGAATTGTGTACATTAAATGAATAAGAAGAATTATTGGAATATAAGTAGATCACAATAGCCTAATTTGTGTGTTTTGGTTGATAACCGTGTATACAGTTAATAATAAATTATGTTACGAGTGTTTCAATATAAAGTCTGCGTGATCGTACGTTGAACACTTGTGTTGACAAAATTTCTGCATCACAGAAATGCCGATAATTTATTTAAACGTTGAATACCAGCAACAGCATTGCAACTTGTAGCATATCGATTCAATAGTATACTGAATTTTTCTAATTTCAGGTCGATATTTATGGTGAATGTGGTACTTTAGCATGTCCAAAGAATAATGCGACATACACCTCATCCGATCACTGCTTGAAGAGGATTCGGGAAAATTACAAGTTTTATTTGAGCTTTGAAAATAGTTTGTGCACTGAATATATAACGGAGAAGCTTTACAGAAATGCACTGAAGTATGTAGTTTGCCATTTGGGCAGCATATAAATTCATTCACGTTTATCGATATGAATATGTACATGAATTATCTCAGGGGGGTCTAAGCACTTCAAACCAACGAAGCGACATTGGCTGGCTGAATGACAATAGTGAATTAATGTTGTGATAGCTTCTGTAATAAGCAAACACAATCAACAATGAGAATATGAATACTAAAAACAAGTACATTTGTGCAATAAATTTTGTAATACAAAATTGAGACTAAAGGTGTGAATGGAAGAGTTGAAATGAATTCATATGCTCAATTGATTTTCAGCGATTCCACAAATGTTAAACTGCTGATCACGCTTTTCGTAATGGTTTGTACCAGTTAGTTGTCGTAGTAGTTGTACTGGTAGTTGTCATAGTTTTTGTAGTGTTAGTAGTAAGAATAGTTTTATTGGTAGTAGAAGTAGTAGAAGTTAAACCAGTATTAGTAGTAGTAGTAGTAGTAGTAGTAGTAGTAGTAGTAGTAGTAGTAGTAGTAGTAGTAGTAGTAGTAGTAGTAGTAGTAGTAGTAGTAGTAGTAGTAGTAGTAGTAGTAGTAGTAGTAGTAGTAGTAGTAGTAGTAGTAGTAGTAGTAGTAGTAGTAATAACAGTGGCTCTCAAATATTCTAAAATATAAGCTTATACAGGTCAAATCGTAAAGTGAAAACTACTAGTGATATCCAAGCTATATGGAGAGATGTATAAACGGTTTCCATACATGTAGTTCACGTCTACATTTTTCGACGAATGAAACTCAATTAATACGGAACTGATTTGAATGATTTCATTTGTAGATGTTACCAGTTTGACTGATTATGAATGAACTGAATCATAAGTCAAGACTAATCGCATAGATGCGTGCTGGTTGGCAGAGAAATCAAAGACGCGTGTTTCTCCCTATTCCGGTAAGGAGGATGAGCATCTGCGCATTAGATCGTAGAATTTTATTTTGATCTTTGTGAGAACGAGACGTCAATGCACAAAGCTGATGACTCCTATACTAGGATCAATATACGATCAACTGATTACCAGTATTCTGGTAGTGCTATTGATGGGCCTCCACACGTATTCTAGTTCGCTAACATTAAATTTGGTAAAGCCCTTTTGATTGATTTACTTAACCAATCCATTTGTATAGAAACAATTTATATGAACCGTTCGTTTTTATTACTGCCTGGTTTGTGTGAGCTCACATGACTTGTCCCACTTGTCTTTTGACCTTGTCAATCATTCGTCGATTTTATTCATGTGTGTTAATGCCTATCTCGTTGGTCACATGTCTGTCTTATTTCTGCGTGAATATAAATTCTTAGTAGAGAATAATCACACGAATGAATTCAACAGTTTTATTAATTTGGTGTAAATCGATCGAGCACCAGTCTTCAGTAAGCTGAAATTGTGACATTCACACTGACACTGAACTTTCGAATGATATAAGACATTTTGTTCTAGCCATGTTCTGATCAATGTTTGATGAATTACGGTTTTTGGTATTATTTTAAAGAAACGAATTACTCCCAATTGTGGTGGGTGCCTCCATTGAAGAATATCAGAGAGCCGCTCCTCCATACTCTTTCATTCATGTCGACCAATTCGAATCACCAGCTCAACTGGCAGACTATTTGAAATATTTGGACAACAATGATACTGCATATAATGAGTACTTCGCATGGCATGGTCACGGAGTCATTCATGATTTCGATGCTCAACCTCAATGTGCAATGTGTCTACTGGCTCATACATCTCCTGCATTTGGTCCATATTGGGTACCGAGAGTGGCGAAATGGTGGAATGATGGTTGTAGTGGTCGGAGATTGCGTTGGAATTCATGAATTATGAAGATTGACAATGAAAGCGCTATATCGTTCCACGAAGTTGCATATTTCTGTTTAAATAACGTTTTTTTATTGCATTCAATTAAATCGAAGTATATTTAGACATGTTCGTGTTATGCAAATATCTGCTATTGTAAAATTTTTCTTGAAAATCATCACATTGTTGTTTCAAAAATTTTTTCCCGAAATGATGATGATGTTACAGGTAAACCAAATACTAGTCAAAAATGACTGCAATGTCATATTGTGAAAGGATTGATATTCATTGAACATTATTGAATATAGAATTGAAAAGTAATATTTAGATATGAATATAATGAAGATAACAAATGTGGAAAGAACGTTTTCTTTTACATTCACTTAACTTAATTTTGGACTATGTTGTGTGACAATACGATTTGATATGAAATCTTCATGATGTATGATAAAATCTCAAGTAATTTGCACGTGTTCTGGTAACGTAGTAATAAAACAAATGCCAACATTAGTGTAGAACCCACAGTTGATTCTGATAACGGAGAAAGAGTTCTAGAAGTTAGGATACGCGCCATGCCCAATTAATCCAAATAGAAAGCAATTTATCTGGGTAAGAATCGGTTCTATTATTGATAAAAAAATACAGATAACTACCTAAACAATAATACGCTGTTCTCCTTCCAAATAAACACAATGTGTTGCCACTTCTGGAAGAATGGTTCCGTTACAATCCAAATTGCACCCTTCCAGTCCAGATGCACGTTTCACCTGCCAAGGTATCAAATCCGATATGGCTGACAGCATAATTAAATATCAATTTGAACAACATAAAACAGTTCGGAAGGAAACATAGAAACTCCAATAAAGGTACAAAAATAGAAACTATAACAAAATACAAATAATAATATCCCAAAATATGATTAAACAGACCATCAAAATGTATCAAACTAAAGAATCTGACAGAATCCTAATGTGTGTACTTCTTTTATTTCATTTTTGATTGCACCAAGTGATGATCTAAAGCTCTATCGTCTCTTCTCTTGTGTTACACATCCTTCGTCCTTCTAAAGTTTTTATTGATGCAGACATAGTCTATTTAGATTGATATAATGTGATGGAATAAAATCTTTGAAGATCTGAATATGCGTTTGTGTGGTAATGAGGTACATCATATTATCAGTTTGTTGAAGAAATATAAGTTTGCCAAACTACTAATCCTTTGGATCCATTCTCGTAAAACATGTTGTCTCATGATGTCCTCATTTCCTGTGTAGTCCATTCAAACCTTTTCATTAAGATTCTACATCAGAATAGTTAAATCGTTTTTTTTATGGATTTCCGAACGATTGACTGCAGCCTTTTTATCGTCTTCAATTTATTCATTGGTAGACCTCAGAGAATTCGATGACGTTCATTGTAGTGCCTGTTTTCTTTGTTTCAGAGGATGCTTTGATTATCTGGATACATGAGATTACCATAATATCAATGCTTTTAGTGCCTGTTTGGATAGTATCAATGCGACCTCTTGTGTACATGAGGTGCTAAAATGTTGATACTCAAAGCAGAACAACATATGTCCTGTTGAGAGTGCTTTTGCAGAACTTGCTTGTTATGTTTCTCAAAGTCAACATATCACTGGATAGTATCTCAAAATTTGTGCACTCATGCAAATGACTCTTTCGGTATCCCAAAATGTAAAAATATTCAAAGTGCTAATAATAATGGTTTCTCTGGATGTCAGAAGTTGCGTTGCTTTCTTGATTGCAGACGAAACTTGTTTTTTGACATGAGCCGAAAAAAACACTCAAAATGAAGACCTTCAAACACAAAGGGTAGAATCTGAATTATTCGTTTGGTTAGAGTCTTTCACAGCAAGTTACGTTTCTAATGGATGAGGTCAGTTTTACCATGTCAAACACTCCTTGTTTATCAAGTCTGGAACAAGAAGTAACCGACAGAGGTTTATGGCTGAATTTTAGGAAGATATACTCGACATATGTGGTTGCAAATTTAAAGTGTTGAAGTAAGTAAATAATCATTGACTTTTGTTTAATATAGAGTTCTTAGAAAGATTTTGAATCGAAAACAATTTCATTCTTATCAAGTACGAAATGTTTTATTCTGCACCTAATTATCGTTACCCTCGACAAAATATTTGTGCGTGAAATTGAAAATAACAAAATAGAAGTCTGAAAGAGTTAACAACGTTATAGTTATGGAACTGACAGAATCAACTATCTGTATACCAATTACCGATTCAGGATAATAATTTGATTTGAAAACGTTACGTTCCAAACGCTTACGAATGAGTTCACCACAGCATGGCAAACATATGTTGAATGCACAGATATGGATTTAATCTTCCAGTTATCATCGCTACAACGAACATAGTCCATTTAATGTGGTTCTTTTCGCTAAGTCCACATTGTGTTCATATAATGAACACTTTCAAACAAATGATGTGCAACTCAATGGATAAACATATGTTGTCGATCCACAGATCTGTAGTCATTTTGATGTTCTTTGGTTGTTATTAGTCTTGAACGACCCGAAAATTTCCATCTCATGACCAGTGCCAAGCTGATGGCATGCAATCACAACGTTCAAAATATGTTTCCTCCTAGTCCAAGTTTCCAAAGAATTCCAATTATCAAACACTTGTAAATGAAGATTTCTCATCATCCCCTCACAATTCTTGCATGATAAACAGTTGTCAACCTGAAGAGAGCAACTATTAAACGTTTATTGCAGAGTTTTGTCCGTAATCGACATCAGAATTCAGTGGTAGGCGATGAGTTCTTGAAGTATGATGTTCCAGTGCCTCGTGACATGATTCTCTCCTTAATTTCGTTATGACGTTCTTGGCTTCATTTCTTTTGTTTGACCACGATAGTAGAAGATGAAATACGGTTTTATCGATAAACATAATTCATGCATTCGGTTAGATAAACAGACATGTTCATTGAAAGCATTGAAGCATGACAGGGTGAATCACCGATGGTGAGTGAGTAAACCCAATCAATGAGTTAGGGCAAAGAGTTTATTGTCAGACTGCTATAAACTATCTGCGAGAAATGAAGTAGGCAGCACACTGAAATAAAAACAACCAACATTGTATGCTAATAGTAGACCAGGTTGAAATAAGTTCGAATAACAACGCGAGAATAGAGGATTTATTAAATTATACAAAGACTGATACAAGTCCTCTAGACTTGACACATCACTACAAACACTACCAGTTAAGAAGAACAACATGAGCTCCGCACATTTCGTTTAGTTCTCATCAGCTTATAATAACACATGAAATTGTTAATTCTATCATCATGGAATAGTATTGAAATTAAATATATATGAAGTGCGCGGTAAATAAATATACGATGTAGGGAAAATTTTCAGATCATCAGAATTAATAATCATAACAGATTATTGAAGTAGAATGATTCATTATTTAGATAACGAAGTATTTGGACCAAGTTAATACGAATCAGGAATAACTTGACTAGAAATCAGCCAGTCTAAAAGTAAAGTAATGATTTCTAGATGAGAAGGTGTTCAAAGTAGTAGTAATCATGTAATCAATAGACGATACAGTCACCGTAACGAGAAAAGATATGCAGCCATCTCATTTTGGATAGGAAAGTTCAGCTTGAGGCGTTTGATTACTTTGTCTTTAGCGAATTAGCGAACGGCATGAGACGAATGTTGTTTAGATTCAGATAATTACCGTTACACGTATCCTTTTGAAAAATCGCACTTTGAATTTTGTCATTCACTCAACACTGTATGAAAGCTTATATATATATATATATATATATATATATATATATATATATATATATATATATATATATATATATATATATATATATATATATATATATATATATATATATATATATATATACACGGTTAGCTTCATTCCATTCACACAAATAAAGACAATGAGCTGAATCGATTTACCCAGTCTTACGCTATTCAATCGATGGATAAGAACTGCAATTCAAGAAGTGTTATGTCAACTGAGCTGTATGATCTCGCGATCTGTATATCTGTATGCGCATCTGGTATTCGAATTTGTCTGATAAAACAATGACTTAGCTATCAAACTGAATACAATAAATGCATATACTGCTGGTCCTGATAATCGGTACTAGATAATAACCTACGGTGTATATATCAGAATATCAATATGAAACTTTGATAATCTTCATTATTAATAGTAATATTTATTTTCAGATAACTACGTTACAAGAGTCATGCCAGTTTACAGGCTAGATCAAATTGTCACAAATGATTTCACATTTACTGTAAAAGTTATAGCAGTTAAATTAAGTATAAGAGTCAGTTTCTGATAGCACATTTACACCATGTCACCGACAGAAACAGTATAATACAGCCACATTTTCAATAGCAGAATATAAATAAGGAAGGTGCACAAAAGGTTCCTTTGGCGGTTTGCTGAGATCAGTAGTGAATTTGTTGGGGAAGTTCAATTGGAACGCGCTTGATACGAGCTGTGATCCAGACAGTCATGTGCATAGGGTGCATGTTTTCTAGAAACTCCAAGGATTTCCTACCGTGAATGGGGTTCCGAAAAGGGAGAAAAGAGAGTGAGAGAAATAGGCAGAAGCGTGGCAAGTATATATATATATATATATATATATATATATATATATATATATATATATATATATATATATATATATATATATATAACCAAAGCACCACT